TCAGCAACATTCACAGTGTTCGATCACAAAAATCCACAAACGTGGAAAAGTATCTGTTTAAATTGCCATATAAAGCAAGTCAGCTTAGGGTCATTAAGAAATGCTGTTTTTACAGCATTTGCAATATAGTTCATTCTAACTTAAGATGAGTGCACAATTTGAACACTGAAATGTGAATATTTTCAGTCATTTGGTTACATTTCTACCTTCGTGCCCGCTCGGTGATAAACAGGATTTTTTTCGAACGCGCCCGCAATTTCTTGTACTGCGTTGACTAATTTCTGCCTGTGCCCGTCGATCTTTTTCCCGAAACGTAAAATAGGCTAGCGAGCATATTACAAAACCTAGTGTTCCTGATCAAATTCATTAGATCGTGTTGGAGTCCTCGACGTGTATGTTCTACTGCTGAATCTTGGAAGCTATAAATGTCAGATGGGTTGGGTGAACCAGTCATTCAGCTTTAAAAATTCCTGCGTGTATAAAACTATAATTTTCATCAGCAAATAATTAAATAACCACGCATATCATCTTTCGTGCAGGTTAACCATAATTAAGTAACTATTTTCAAATTGTAAGTCACCAAAAAAATAATGGTAATAACGATTACTTTCTAGGACTATACCGAAAGCCAAATTGGAAGTTGCCAGGAAAGGCTTTTAATTCAAAGGGGCTTGTCTTTTAATAAACTGCCTTTACAGGTTGAAAGATGTCTTGGTTATTGTTGTTCTACTCATGCATGAGAGCTGTTCAACAAGTTATAAAGAAACGACCGGAAGAAGTATCACTTTTGAGTAAGATAAAAGCATCACTTTAATATGTCAAATAAAACAACGCCTAATTTACCTAATCAGTACAATCTTCCTGTTCATCATTTTCGTGAAAAAAATTGGCCAGCATGTAGGCTGTTGATTATGCATATATCGAGCACTAGTTTATAATCGTCTTGATATCTTCTCTCGTGTCTTCTGAATAAAACTAGGTGAACAAAGTCGGACACAGAATGATTGAATGAAATCATAGCAGCGCCGCATTGGAAGCATCGTGACTTTGAGATAAAAAGATCATTTGTTAATTTGATTGGCAGATCAACATGCCGAGCTGAAAGTAGCTTTGCATTTTACATATTGGTCATTTTCCGGTATGAGAAAATGTGCCAGCGAGCATCTTGTACATTTTAAAACACCAATGTGATAAAACTTTGTATTTGGGTTTAAATTGATCAAATGGTGTTGGAGATTGAAGTCGTCAACGTGAACGTGCTATATACTTCTTAAATATACTAAATCTTTTCATCAGGTAAGTTGTTTAGTGAAACCTTTTGTCTACTGCGTATAAGTCTTACTTTTATATGTTCATGCAAATCACAAATTTGAGGAGGGATTCAATTAATTCGTATAATTAGACTCTTTGTAATGTATACAAACACTTTAAATGTTGTATAATTATAATGTGTAGTGAGCGTAACATTTGTGGTTAGCTATATATTATTCACAATATAAGTTTTAAAATTACATTTGCTTATATTTGCATGCCAACTTCAAACGACGTGTAAATTGCTTTAACTCTTAAGCTAAACTTTTAAAATTTTCCTCTTAGGTCAAAGGTGCAATTTTGAACGGATTTTTCAATAATTATAGCTTTTTCTAAGATGGCAGCCTTGCGATTGATTTTTGTGGTCAGTCTTGTTCTGAGTTTGATTGTGTTAAACACTGACGGCTTGTGGAAGCGGCGTCGCCGCCGTCGTACACGTCGAGGGTGTTGGTACAATCCTAAAGGTTGGTTCCTCAAAGGTTCTGACTATGGATGTTGTGGAAATTACGCAGGCTGCTGTTGGTATGCAAGTTTAGCGTGCTTGGCGCATGACAAAGCGTGTCGCTGTTGCGATAAATGGCATTGTGGACCGGCTTGTAAGAAAGAGAGTTCGTGCGGTAAATGAATTAACGTTCACGTATTAACATGGTCTTAATGTGATGTTTATAGAACGTAGTACAATCGATGTTTCTGGTATTTTGTAATACTCTTATTAAAGGCATAAAAAGTAAATAGTTTGCACTAGTTTTCTTTCAACTGAAACGTTTTCTTAATTAGGATTTTATCCTCACCAAACAAAGGTGTTGGAAATATATACATATGCTTTATCGACTGTTTCTATAGAAATCTATTTTTGCATCCTTGGAAACTATATGCGTGGATCACTACAGTTTAAATATAAACTGCATGATGTATCTAAATTTTACATGTTTCAGGCGTGTGCAGGCTTAAATCTTTGTGCAAGACATTTTTTGTTGAATATTTATAAATTTCTCACCAAGTTTGAAGCCTGGGTATAACCAATTTCCGCTTTGTCGCGTGCATGCAGCAACATTTCGCCATGCTGTTCAAACCAAGCAAATAATTTTTCTAACTTTTTTTCCTTCATTTTAACCCTGTAACATTCATATAAAGATTAAACAGAAATCACTTCGAGAACAGATTGAAGGAGAAAATGTCACTTTTGCTTCTTCACTTGTAATATTACTTATTAACGACGAATCATGCATGCCTGCAAAACGACTTGTATAGCATGATGCGAAATAAAAATCGCCTAGCACGTTCCGTTCTATAAAAGTTTTCTTCATTATTCTCGTGTTTCAGCAGTCCATTTTCTTATAAACTTTGGCGAAAACAATTTTCTGAATGAATCTTCTGTATTCTCGCCAAAAACCACCTTTGTTTCATCGGTTACATGTTCCGGTTCATTATAATTTTTCCGGTAAGGAAAAATGGTTCAGCGAGCATATTGACATAAACTTAGTGTTTATTATAATAACTTGTAGGTACACCACGTAAGTATTAAATACTGCAAAGTAAGTAACTACATGTAAGTACATGTACATGTACTACATGTACTACATGTACACCATGTAAGTATTAAATACTTGCATGCAATCATACAAGAAAATTATAACTTAGTGTTTGTTAAGAACTTGATCATATCGTATTGGAGTCCTCAACGTAAACGTGCCACTGCAGAATATTGTCCTCAGGTAAGTTCTCATAAAACTCTATGAAAAGTTTTCTTTCTAAACAGACCATCCCGATATTGAGTCATCCCTCCTTAAATATATATCCTCACATGGTATTAAATTAGTTTTTCAACTATAGTCAAAAGTGCTAATTATTGTGCTTTTTTCTCATAGCTATAGCTATATATATAGTTTCCGTGCTTTAGTATAGAAACCTTTATGAAGGGTGATATGCATGTGTTTTTAGAATTTTATCTTGTTCAAAATGTTTCATATGAGTTATATCCATCGCAATATTACAAGCACCTAAATTTGCAAGTTGAGGGCCATCACATTATAGTGGTCACTCTCCAAAAAGAAGCTTTTGGGAGTTATGAACGCCAGATGAGAAAAATCCGCTACCACAAATTTTGAGAATCAATTAAAGCAGGATGAAAATAGTTAGCTTCGTATAGAGATGAAACACCAGGGTTTTACTTTTGTGATCGACAGCCCTACTTTTTATAAACTTTGTTGCATTTTTTTAAACCTTGTAGTTTTGCCTCGGTTGTGACGTCTTCCTTTCGTGCATGCTCACAGCCGTAGATGAAGTAGTGTTCAAAGAAAAGTCGAAAAAGTGCAAAAAACCTTTTTCCTGAGCCGAGTGTATATTCAAAGAAACCACTTCAGACTTTGTTTACCCTTAAAAGCCTTGAACCCCTTGAACCCCAATATATAAAGACTGCAGGTAGCACATGATGATTAATTGGAAAGCTAGCTCAAACAGTATGTACAATATAACGCGAAACAGAGTTTCTCAGCTCTAAGTTTAAGATCAAACACGCGCGAGCATGAACCAAAAATCTAAAAATGAAACTAGCTATATATCATAGCAACTTTTTTTTTCTGCATGGTCGCTTTCTTTGGAATCTAGAAATACGAATACTGTTTCAGGATTCAAACAACTTAAACTTAACGCATTAAAAGAGGTGTTCTTTTATAATGTCTATATTTGACTATATATGTACTTTATATCGGGTTATTTTTTGTAGCCTAAGGACAAACTTTAAATAATGTATATATAGCTGTCATACATAAACATGCAATAGGTTTCAACATGACATAATCACGACGCATACAATTTGCTGAAATTTGCCAAGTTTCTCGCGTGTATATAGCTGCTGTATGTATATGCAGTATAAGTATTTAAAGAGGCCTTTTTAAAATTTTCCTCGCAGGTAAATATTGCAACGTCTTTTTTTCATGATGGGAGTTCTGCGATTGGTTTTTATCTTGAGTGTTGTTCTGTGTTTAACGGTGATGGACACCGCTGGGTTATGGGGACGAAGGCGCTCAAGCCTTGCAGTTAGGTGTCATCATTGGTACAATAAGTTGGGCTGGTATCTCAAAGGAACTGATCTCGGATGTTGTGGAAATTACAAAGGTTGTTGCAAACTTGCAAGCAAAGCGTGCTTGGCGCATGACAAAGCGTGTTTGTGTTGTGACAAATGGCACTGCGGATGGGGCTGTAGGAAACATAGTTCGTGTGGCAAATAAATACTGCCTTTGGCGAATACGGAATGATATAACATTGTCTAGTTAACGTAGTATAAATTTTTTGTATAATGCTGTTATTAAAAGCATATCAAGATGTGATGACATTTTTTATAAGTATAATATCCTGATATACGAACATCGTCAATGCCAATTTCCCGTTTTACTCGTTTTTCCTTATGTCATGTTATATTAGATAATGAAACCTAATCAAAACTAAACTTGTTTTGGAGTACTAAGCGAAGCCAAATAAAAATTAGAATCACGCTCATATGTTGTATCCATTATTTTTCTCTGATTGGAGTTTAATTCGCGTTTGCGATTCATGTACTCATGCATCATCAATACTGACGACTGTCTGTTGCTGTTACTTATCTCCTGCCGATAAAGACACTCGAAAACTTGTTTTGATCATGGCTTGTAAATTTTTAACATTATTTGCATACTTATATTGTACTTTTTATGAAAATTTATGCATTCTGATTGGGTCACTGAAAATGTAAACAAACTTGCTGATTGGTCTAAAACGAAATTCCCCCTTGTTACTGTCTTGCTGATCTCTTTCCAGCCTAAAAATGGGCCTGCGAGCATTTTGCACACCGGCATCGTGATTTTTATTATATACGGCAAAAATCATTAAACTTTGATAAAAGTGATCAGATCGTGTTGCAGTCTTTGGCCTGAACGTCATAGCAAAGTCCTGTCCTCAGGTAAGCTCTTGAAAGAATTATTAAATTGCACGCGATATGCATTTTTACACGCATGGTTCTTGCCAGGGAAGCAGTCACTATGGTTATACCTCTCGCTATATTACTATTAGGGACTGGGCCATGAACTGCACTAATTTTTTGTTGCTATAAGTTTTATATTCATTGCTAGTCAGGGTTTAAATTATTGTTATTACATATTTTTTTTCAAGTTGTCTTAAGTGTGAATTTTTATTGTTTTTTTTTATAGTTGGCTGGCAATCGGAAATTTTTTTTCAGGTAAGATATGTTAGTATTTCATTTCATGTAAGCTATCAAGGGCCATCACATACCGGACACGATTCATACATAACATGTAGCAACCATTTTCTGTTTAATTTTGACTAAAAAATAGAAAATAACCAATATAACATACGAGGAAATTATATCTTTGAAAGTTACAGCGTTTTTAATTTTTCAAAAAGGCAAATGGTGGTCAACGATATCCTTAGTGACAATCATGCACAAAGATTCTTGTGTTGAAAAAATCACGTCCGGTATGCATGCATGTCTTTGCCCGGCTTGGGGCCCAAATTTTCAGTTTTCGTAAGCACATAAATTATATTTTGAAAGAAAGTCGTGAAGCTGAGTTTTGACAACAAATATCAATGAAAATGTACTGTTGTTATAAGAATCCTCAAGATTATTGTAACAAAATCAAATTTGTTTGCTTCCAAACACTCGAAAACTTGGGAAAATTGCGTCCGCTTTTGGTCTTCACGGCCCGAGTTTGACAATTTTTTTGTTGTACACATGAAATATCATTAATTCCGTGCATGTGTGTATATCCAGTGCTGTTGGCATACAATATTAGGAAGAAAATTTTACTGAGGTGGATAAAAATAGATCTACATGCTGCATGAACGTGTTATAATAATTACAAAATTAATGTTGTTGTTACATAAAAAATCATTAATTTCGTGCATGTATGCATACCCGAAGCTGTTGGAAGACAATATTAGGAAGAAATTTTCACTCAGATGGATGCAAATAGATCTACATCCTGCTTGAACGTGTTATAATTACAAATGTTGTTGTTCCAGACAAAGAAAGCACTTTCAGTCTAACTCCAATTTGCATAACCTTGTTGTTGTTAACCTTGAATTACAAAACAAAGGCTATCCGGTTTTGAAAACAAATTCTCTACGAATATTTTATGATCCTGTGCTTTCAATACACATGCAGTCAATAAGCGATAAGGCTGAGAGTTTGTTGATTTCATCCATTTACAAACTGAAGGTGCATAATTGATATTGCTTAAGTGGTATTTACGTAAGAATATTTCTCCATTTCCTCAGCAACCCTATTCTATTTCCCCCTATTGACCTTTTTATTAATTAATTCAATGTCACGAATAAATAAAACTTTAAACAAAGCGTTGTCTTATATGTATTTGTATTGCATGATATCAAAAACAGTAATATAATTGTTCATCTTTTTGTATTTTCGTCACAGATAAAAAAAAATATTGCAGCTTTTTTCATGATGAATTTGCGAGTGGTTTTCCTTTTGAGTCTTATTCTGTGTTTGGCGGTGATGAACACCGCTGGACTTTGGGGACGAGGGCGCTCACGTCGTAAGTGTCGTAATAATCCGCTAGGCGGGTACCTCAAAGGATCTGATCTCGGATGTTGTGGAAACTACAAAGGTTGTTGCAGACTTGCAAGTAAAGTGTGCTTGGAGCATGACAAAGTGTGTTTGTGTTGTGACAAATGGCACTGCGGATGGGATTGTAAAAAACATCATTCGTGTGGCAAATGAATTGACACTCACGGGAATACTAACTAACATTGTCCTAATATATGTTGTTGTTGTTTTGTGAATATACTAACAACTATTTTATTTTTGTAATGCCGTTATTGAAGACACATAACGAGATATGGCACCATTTTTAATAACTATTGTAATGACACCTAAATTTTTCAATCCTGTTTTACTTTTTGCCCTTATGTGATATGGTAATTCATAAAACGTAGCATAAACCATGTTTTTTGATAATAATAAACTAGTATTACAAATTGTAAGAAATGCTGCGCGTGAATACACGTAGTGCCTTTATCTTCTCCTAGGCATCCCTTGGGTAGTCTTCACTATAGTAATGGCAATTTTGCGTGTCAAAAACTTGATCTTGTTTATATTATGATAAATGTAAACAATATTTTATCGTGGTTATGCTGTAGTGAAAATTCTTTCCCGGGTTGAGATCGCACATAAGTGAGAATATGAAGCATTACGCATTCGCATGGGGTGAAACCGCAGTACTATTGTACGTGTGCTCAAAAAATCGTCCTGACAAACAAAAATCGCTAAAATCGAAATGCACGTCAAGAATGTAGGTTGTGATAACAGTTTGTGATAAACAGGTTGTGATAGTTGTCCAGTATTGCTCAAATCTTTTTCTTTATGTAATGTAGTTTTTAGTGCAAACCATGTTTTTGTAATACTTAAAAATATGATAAGTTGCGACAGATTTTTAAACACCCTTTCTCAGCAAGCATTATTTACTTCTGTGTTACGTTCTAATTTATACGCGATCAAATTTCGATGCCTATTTCCTATTGCTATAGGCTGCAGCGATTCTTATGGAATTCAAAAAAAATTTCATTTTAGGCCAATCAGTTACCCAATTGGAATGCATAAATTTTGACTACTTCCGGTAAGATGGTACATTATTTACCATTTTACATGAAGTATTAAAAATTTAGGCATTCTAATTGGCTTTCCCTGAAAAATGTAAATAAATATGGCGATTGGTATTCAAGGACAAGAGAATCTCGCCATGTTGAATGTATTAGAATTGTAAGGAAAATCATTTGTAAAAGTCATCCAACATGGCGACGATAACGTAAATTGTACTATCTGGTAGATAGTGTTTTATCCACCGTTCGTACAACCGCTCCCAGGGCGCATGAGATAACAGTACAACTTAAAGGTACCTTTTTGCTGATCGTATCTTTATTGATTGATATAAAGTTTGAATTTTTATTTATGATAGGCATGAAGTTGCGACTCGGCATAATTCGTCCTCTCTGGCATTGAAAAGATACGTTAAGCAGCTGTTGGGACATAAAAATTTCTGGTGGTTCACTGCTATGAATTTAATTCAGGTAAGTGGGGTAATATATAATGTAAAACTTCAAAAGTTATCTTCTGTGTATACCTAATTCCTGATTGTTGGATCAAACACGATAATCGCACTTGTGTTACTATCATGAATAATCGTACATTTGTTGTTATCGCTATTCACAATGCAATATATGAATCATTGTTATTAACAACGGGGAATTTCGTTTAAGACCAATCAGCAAGTTTGTTTACATTTTCAGTAAACCAATTAGAATGCATAAATTTTGACTACTTCCGGTAAGAATGTACATTATTTACCATTTTACATGAAATATTAATATGCCGATTAGGTTGAAACGAAATTCCTCCTTGTTTTTGTTATTAATTGTTAGTAATGATAATTTATTATTAATGATAATAATTAATAAATTATTATAATTAATTATAATAACATTGCGCCGATCAAGCAGTTGAAAGAAATATTGGTATTGGTACTGGTATTGGTACCCAATTCTGCGTCAAAGAAGGCGGTCAAGTAACCGACAGTTATCGTTTCATACTAAATGTTGTAGCAAGTATTTTTGCAAGTGCTATCCAATTAGGCCATCGAAATCCGAAAATATAACCGCATGTGCAATTTCTTTCAGGTCTTCCACTGTCATTTTAACAGCAATTTTTTCCCGTTATTTTTGGACAAATTGCTTGGTCATACACTTTCACCGAAGTCAGCCGCATTTTTACTTGGTCTTTCGTTTGTGACACCTCACATCAATAACCTGTACTTTTTAACGTTGTGTCGTCGATTCGGTGCTTACATAGTTATTAGGTGGTTGTTTTACGTCAAACTCGCGCTGAGTTTGGTTATGTTAATGCTGGGCCCTGATTATACAACATTATTATGTATTTTTATCGCAAGGTGAGTGTGTTTACCTTCTTATGCCTTCTTATGCATTATGACATTGAATGCTCTTGCATAACCACAAAACCAGCATTTCCTGCTAGAATTGCTATGTTTGTCTCGATTGTTTTTGCTTGGATTCTGGTTGTTCTTTGAAGATGCGTATTGCACTGCTCTAAACCGATCAGATTGCAGGAATTTTTTCATATGAGATGCAAGAGTTGGATCTCTCTTTATATGTTATGAAAAGCAATATTTTCACCCGTATAGCCTACATTATACACTTAATGTATGCTCCCGAGGGAAATAGTGAGTTTTGTTTTCCCAAGAGTCTGAATGTTTGTAATGAGTATGAAACATTGAGACTCGAAGGAAAACAAAGTTACAAAACTCACTATTTCCCGAGGTGTAGCGAACGTGTTTTGTTATATAGGAACAAAAACATACATGTTACACGACAATTTCATTTCAAAAAACTTTGTTGTGACAAGAAGCTGGCAACAATTTTTCACTTGTTTCCCTGGCGGGAAACATTGCATTTATTTTTTTATTAAGTCATGTATGTACGAACGAACCAATCACATTTAAATATACAGCACCTATATAACAACACCGTTTAATTATTGTGGTATTGAGAAACTATACGACAAATTGTCTGTCAGAAACACTTTATAAAGAACAATGCATGAAATGCATTGCACGCATATTTGATTTACATCCCCTCTAAAAGATGGAATAATTACTTTGCATGGTTCCAACAAAATGCATGAAATAATTTTAATTATGATTCAAGATGGCGTCGTGAATTTGAGCTTTTCTTACATAGCGTACTGCAAACTTTTTCTTATACACCGTACTTTGCAGTTCATTACGAGTCTCAGTTTTTATTCATTTTCTGTCTATTCTGTTTGCAAATTTAGTAATCGTGTTTTCACGGAAGGGACTTGTAAGCTTCTCAACCTTGTCATCAGTGATCTGGTTGACGAAGATTACGTCATACATCATAGAAAACAAAGCATCTCTGCGCTGGTATTCGGCACTTCCGCATTACTTTCGAAACCAGGCCAAACACTTGCGCCTCTTTTGGGAACATGGCTGCTGGCCAAACAGACTGGATACTCAATATTTTACTCCGACGAGGTCTCGGGAACTCACAGCTCTGATTTATTTTTGGACGAGAAAAACTTTCACGATAGAACCGGAAATGACGTTAAATATGGATGTTTTCAAGTCTTGGTGTATGTTCCAATAGTTTGTGCTATATTACAGATTATCTTTTGGAGTCGTTTCAAATTGCATGGTAGACGCTTGAAAGTTGTGACGTCACAGAGGATTGGTGCCGAAATTGGGGGTGCTGTATAAAGCATAGTTTTGTCTACGGAAAATTTTCTATTTTAAATATTTTTACTAAAGTAGAATTTTTAGATAGATATATTTATCAGAGTATCGAATTATTATATAATAAACTGCATTTACTACACACGCAGGCGGGTACTGCCCCATATTAAGGTCCGTTTTTCGGTGTCTTAAGAATACCAATATTTTCACATGAAACTAAATTTTGAACCTGAAACATGTAGTGAACGGTGACATCGTTGTTTAGCGCGTGATACTAATTCTTACGGCTATTTTCGTTCCGAATATTCCTTTCTCATTTTTAAACGTGACTATTTCGAAATTTTTTGTTGAGGAAAACGCCCATGGACGCGTCACTTGCGCTTTAGACTAATTTCTTTCCTCGGCGATAACAAGGACATATTCTGAAAGAGCTTACTAAAAGAAATAAAACTGCCAAGTTTGGCTGCAAATTGTTGTAAATTACGGAAAATATAGCCATGCGAACTTCACGAATTTTGTATACTTTTGTATTACGGTCGGAAGTGTGTGTAACACATTTAGTTACACATTAGCGCACGTAATACAAAAGTATACAAAATTTGCCAACTTCGCATGGCTATATTTTTCGTATTTTACAAAATTTCGCAGCCAAACTTTGTATTTGCACTAATTTTAAGTAAGATCTTTCCAGCAGTGGGGATTTATTTTCTTCTTGTTACTTCGATCAAAAATTAGTCTAAGGGGCTGTTTACATGAGCCCGGTTACCCGAGATTCAACGAAGCGCGAGATGATTTTGAGGTATTGAAATGAGCAGATGACATGATCCTGGCAGTCGTATAATCACCCAAACAATAGCATGTGCTTGTGCATAAAGACTCATTTCAATACCTCAAAGTCCTCTTCAACATTGGCATTTTCAATTTTGAACTATCTTAAATGAAATGGATTTCAAATTTTACTCTCATGCGAGCCATGTGAAAACGTTTTTTCCGGTTTCCAACCACCAAAATGACATGGCGTCTTTTTAATTTATATGCTCGGTTTCGCGGGCTTGCGGGTTAGGGTATTAAGATATAATATAGCTCTGGGTTGAGGTTAGGGTTAATGTTAGGGCGTTTTGCCTTGATGTTATGTCATTTTGGTGGTTGGGATTTGGGAAAAAGTGACGACCATGTGAAAATATGCAAAAGTATTAGCATCGAGTTACCATAAATATTTCAAATTAGACAAAAATGTAAATTTAAAGAATATGCTTTATTTAAAAAAAATAACATTTCTGTTCTATTCAACAATTGATATTCAGGGAGGCAAAATCCTTTGACCAAGATACTAACTAAAATCGGACGACCAAAGACCCGTTTGAGAAAGACCCACACCGGACGCGATCCGACAACGCGACGCGATTTTTACGAATTTTTCATTTTTCAAAAGCTGCTAACCTTGACAATGTTGTGTATTCTCGGTAATTACTGATTGATGGTATTTTGACTGGTCTGGTAACCATACTCTCTCAAAACGTTCTCTCAGAATTGAATTTATTTATGTATGAAAATGAAAAATTCGCGTCCCGTTAGCGAATCACGTCCAGTGTGTGGGGGCCTTTACACATGCAATTTATCCACGCGATTTTCGTTTTTTGATGAATGAAGACGAGGAAATAGCTATGAATGCTCTGATATAAGAACTCTCATTGGAACACCCATAATTTAACCTAGACGAAAATCGCAGCATATCGTGTCGTGTGCGCCTGGTTTAATCGTAAGAATCGGTGATTATCGGATAGACAACACATAATGGATCCCCGATTCTTGGGACAAGTATGACCCCGCACCAAGCGTTTGGAAGCAATTCTTCATGCCCCTGGATGCGAGATTGGTTCATCTTTGTCCATTCATTTCTGATTAACAGGTTCACGTTTCATCCGGACGGTTTCTGTTCTCATCAATGTACTATAATATAGAGAAGGTAATATTTTGATAATATTTTTGTGGTTTATTTATGAAACAGCAACATCGTCTTTTTGTACATCGTTGCCATGTTCACATGTTGGTCAGAAGATTGATCGAAGCCGAAGGAAAACTTTAGGATCAAATCAGAAACATTGAGAGAAATGCAACTCATGTTTTTCGGCAGGAATTAAACCTACGGCTACGCCTCTGCGATTGCTGTAAAGCTGCTACCAATCAACGGGGTAACATGTTTATATCCTCCAAGATTACCCAAGATTGGGAACCGTGAAATTAATTTGAAGTATTGAAATAAGTGAGTATTAGCTACATTTAAACAAGGGCAAGGTTCAGGCAGCAGTGTGGCCATCTTGGCAATACCATGTTTAAGTTGATCCACATTCATAAACTTATTTCAGAGCTCAAAATCATGCAAGTTAGTCGTAATTAATGCTTTATTGCGAGACAATAGAAAGTTGGGTTAACGGCCCGAGACCGCTTGTATAAAAGTCTTATACAGTGTCCATTTCTCTCCCTTAATATAGCTAAAGTTAAGTACATTTTTATACAGAGCTACGAAGAACCGTGCTCGTCCGAATAGACGAAAATTATTTACGGTATTCCTGTCTGAAACACGCATATATTAGTTGCATACCTGTAAAGTGTCTTCTAAGGTCGTATATCTGTATGTTGTGTCGAGGTTTCTTGTGTAAGATTCGTACATTAGTCGACTGTTGTCGACAAATTGTTGAACCAAACTGAGCTGTTGGCGGAGCATGTCTGTCAAGGCTATTACCGCTGGGTTGTATGCAGTAACGGCTAGATATAATAAACAAAACTAAAACATAGATAAATCTCCGCTATATATTCGGCAAAAACCTTTTATTTGTGAATCTGTGGGTGATTTACTTATAGAAAGACCATTGACATAACTCACTTAAGTACCTTATTAAAAACCAGTGTTCCGCTGTTCAAAAGTAAAATTCCGAAAAAACTCCTCGTCAGTGATCTCTATATAGTACAGTGCATCGGGCAATCTAGTGCTATTCTCAAAGGTTATTTTTGTTGCAGGCTGGAAAACTAACGGACCTGGAGAAATAAAACACTGGAGTGATTGAGTAGAGACAGAACGATACAATGTACCTTCGACGGCATCAGCATCGACCGCATGGCGAGCGATAGGACTGGGGTCGACATAACGATGACCAAGTGATGGACCGAGCGTTGCCATACCAACAGCTAATTTTGGTCCGCCGACGTCATCCATATTTACTTGTGTAGCGACATCGTGAGAGCACGCATTTATTTTATGCTGTATTTCAGAAATAAGTGGTTAGGTTACTGCCGCGATAGGAAGGATCTTCACGACTAAAGGTATATTTTAATGGTTAGGGCTACAGGTGACGTCGGTTTTGTTCCGTATAGCTGCGATATTATACCAACACACATCCGTGTATTATTAGATGAGTTTAAACGCTAAAAAAGTCTAAACGCTAAAAAATTGTGCCAATTTGTAAAACTAAATTAATACTGACCTTACTCGTCTTTTTACTTATTTCAGCAACCGAGGTCACTTTAGAAGATAAAACAACTGAATTTTTGTCCAAGCCAGACTGAGTGTAGCTGCCAGTTTCGTTTATTTTGCTAGAAAGACTTGCGGAATCAGAAAAATCAGTTGTGTAGGAATCTTCAGACTTCTTTGAAGTTTCGTGCCCTCTGCTGTCCGACTTGGATCGGTTTGAGGAAGTCCTCTTTTTTTTTCGTGAATCAAGAGAGCTGTGGCTGTGCTCGCTCGTTTGCTGTGAGCTTCGTTTAGTTTTCTTTTTACTCTTAGGTTTAGAATGTCTTGAATCACTACGCGTCTTTGAGTGTCCACTTTTCGACGAAGTTTTGTGCAAACTTTGGTCTGTTTCATCATAGACAACCCTCTCAGATTTCGGACTATCCTTTTGTCGACGAGATTCATTATTCCTCTTTAAATTACTTGATATTGTATCTTGTTTAGAGCCTTGACTCAAATCTTCCTCAATTTCTTCTGTGATTTCGTCTAAAGTGTGTACCTCCTCAGAATCAGCGCTGCTTAAAGTTAAATCCTTCCCTGTTGACCTAACATATCTGTCGATTACTTCCTCTGATTCATCTTGGCTCAAAGTCATTTTTACGTTTTTCGTTAATTTTTGGGGAGCGTCGGATAACTCGAAGTCCGGCATAAGGTTCACTGCTTGAAATGGTCTGATGGAACTCGGTTCTGAGACGTCTGTCTTGTTTTCTTCTGTTGCAACAGAAGGCAGGGCCATAATGTTTGGAAGAAAATCATTATCACTTGCTTCATTCTTGTCCGCTTCCTCGTCAATTGGAGCTACCCGAATCAATAAATGAATATTAACTTGTAAGTCTTTCTGTATAAGAAAATGCATTAATGGAGAAAAAAGATCAGATAAGGGACATCTACCTCATCCCCAGTTCCCTTAAGTAAAAACGTGGGTCACAGACACTGATCTGTATGAATGCACTGGACTGAGTATTTAGCTCGCCAATTACAGTGTTGAGTATGCCAATCCATTCCTTGCTCAATTTCTCTAATAACTAATACAACTTCACTTGATATTTTGCAGTTTGATTTTTCTTACTTGAATTAGTCTCTGTTAATATGTACTGTGAATTGATCAGAATAAATGAAAGAAAATGTCATGGATATATATATATATATATATATATATATATATATATATATATATATATATATATATATATATATATATATATACAGTATAATGGTGGTATATGAAGGGACAAAAAGACAAATGATAAAATAAAAAGTAAGTATAATACAATATAATGAATGACTCATAGACAGATTTTAATAGTACTGCAACAGAAATTTATGGCAAAAAAGTCTTAAGTGATGCCAAAACAAGTTTAATTGCTGAGATTCAGTAGATTCAGTTATTGTTTTAAATGCAAACAACCTTGACCTGTACCGGTTAAAAAATCTGTTTTTAAATATGGGTAGTTGTCCTGGCCTAAACATATTAAAAAACCCTGGCATATTAAAAAAACCTGGATTACTATTAAACCAAGTCTAGTCTAGGCCAAGACTATATTGGGGGGGGTGGGATAACATGAATATATGAATAGGTGCCCACCCCCCCACCCCCATTATTGTCTCCGATATGTATGCCACTGGTCTAGGCTGCAGTTCCCTGCTTGAGAAAAATTACAGATATATCACTAATTCATGGAATTGTAGCCTAAATGGATGCTTAGTGTACTGTCATAATGCCAACTGCACTTTTTTTTCACCAATGTGGAAGCACAACCAAGAAATCAGGCAAGAGATTTTTTAAAACATCTTCTATTTATTTATCATTTGTTTTAAAATCTTAGGTGTGAAATTTGCATGCTTTCAGTCTGGGTCCACAACCACTGCTAGCTAAACATTTATTTGACCCAAATTGCATTATGTGTAGCCTACACCAAAGATCTTTGGTCATAACAATGTAATCATTTGTATTTAGATGTACACATTATAATGTACATGCTACACAGAATGCGCAACTTGGGTTAAATGTGTGCTGCTCTGCATATATGGTATGAATATAGAACTCAGGAATGATTCGTCCAGATTGTTTACACATCTTGGGGGTAAGTTATTCTTATTTAACTTTTAATGGTACACTATGTTGCATGCAATATTATATGTGGTATTCTTGGCAGTGTAATCAACATGTGACTAGATTGACAGTTAATGTTCCTCCTTTCTGTGTGCTGTCTTGCTGTAATATGTAAAATGTAATTGTTCCAGAATAAATACAGGAAATCTATTATATTCAAGGTAGTTTACTGCATGATATTAATCATGAATACTAGTGGTATAATAACAGGCCTGACTAGCCACGGACTGGTCCTACTAATAACAACAACCAGCAACAAGTTAATAATGATTATAAACTGTCTATCAGTAATTATTAACTTAATATTCTTGTATGTTTGCATGGTGACAGTCAATAAGTAATTTAGCTTGTAATTTAATACTGCAAAGCTTTCGGTTGTTACCCACTGATACTTACATGGTGTACCTACAAGCTAAATTACTTAATTATTAACTTGTTGTAGGTTGCTGTCGGTTATTAGTAGGACCCGCCACTGACCTGTAGAGATGATAGTTAATTGCATGATGTTCACAGATATACACACTTAAATTCGCTGTAGCATATTATTTCAGAAAACCATTCGTTCTCTACGAGTGCACAATACGAATACTTTTCCAAAATAACGGCTGGAGATTACGGTCCTACTAATAACCGACAACAACCGTCAACAACGGAGATTACGGTGAATTATATACAAATGAAATTATTTTATACCTTCTCCATCAGATACAGAGGAAATTGAGACATCTGGTGTCCTATCAATCACTCTATCAAATGTATTTCCAGTCCATAAACGATTTAGTCGATTTACTCCGGATTTTTCCTTCATTTTTCCTAAATACTGTTCTAACTCGTTATCGGAAAATGACAGGTCGTCTTCATCCATGAGGCTGGATTTTACAGTCAAAGAATTGCTCAACGATGTTTGAGAAATTGACCTTGTCTTTTGAAACGATGCTCGCCATTTTGCTTTTGTAGACATCTGATCCCTTTTTAATGAAATGAAGTGTAAATAAAAGGGAATTTTTGCCTCAAAATGTTTGTTTATAAACCTACATATTTTTAAATTTTAATAACAAAACAAACGAGATCTTGATATTGTGGGACAAATGGGAATACTGGGATGTTTAGGTACAACCAGGTACAGTTACTCAAAATATGATCACGTGGTCACACGTGATCATCGAACAGATGGATTTATGATTTATTGAAAGCCGAAGGCGCCATTCTGGGTTCAGAGTATAAAGCAGCAGAACAATTACTATATTGCTCCTTTTAGTATTCTCGTTAAATGCTAATATGGATTTAAAACAAGTAATTTTCGTAAAAAGCGATTTTCACAAGGTAGGATTTGGTTAGACATCAAAGGACACACACTGGAGAGAAATCTTATGAATGTGATGTTTGTAAGAAGAGATTTTCACGTGGTAGTAGTTTGGTTAGTCATCAAAGAACACACACTGGAGAGAAACCTTATGAATGTGATGTTTGTAAGAAGAGATTTTCACGTGGTAGTAGTTTGGTTAGTCATCAAAGAACACACACTGGAGAGAAAACTTATGAATGTGATGTTTGTAAGAAGAGATTTTCACGTGGTAGTAGTTTGGTTAGTCATCAAAGAACACACACTGGAGAGAAACCTTATGAATGTGATGTTTGTAAGAAGAGATTTTCTGATGGTACTAGTTTGGTTCAACATCAAAGAACACACACTGGAGAGAAACCTTATGAATGTGATATTTGTAAGATGAGATTTTCACAGGGTAGTAGTTTGGTCAAACATCAAAGAACACACACTGGAGAAAAACCTTATGAATGTGTTGTTTGTAAGAAGAGATTTTCACTGGTTAGTAGTTTGGTTAATCATCAAAGAACACACACTGGAGAAAAACCTTATGAATGTGATGTTTGTGAGAAGAAATTTTCACAAGTTAGTCATTTGGTTAGTCATCAAAGGACACACACTGGAGAAAAACCTTATGAATGTGATGTTTGTAGAAGAAATTTTCACGTGGAAGTAATTTGGTTAGACATCAAAGAACACATACTGGAGAGAAACCTTATGAATGTGATGTCTGTAAGATGAGATTTTCTAACAGTAATGGTTTGGTTAGTCATCAAAGAACACACACTGGAGAGAAACCTTATGAATGTGATGTTTGTAAGAAGAAATTTTCACGTCGTAGTAATTTGGTTAGTCATCAAAGAACACACAATGGAGAGAAACCTTATGAATGTGATGTTTGTAAGAAGAAATTTTCACATGGTAGTGACTTGGTTAGTCATCAAAGAACACATACTGGAGAGAAACCTTATGAATGTGATGTTTGCATGAAGAGATTTACTCGATCAGGCCATTTAACAAGACATAAAAAAAGGAAACACATATGAGAGAAAAGAGTACAATCAAACCATTGAAAGACTAAATTAGACTGTCAATTTTTTAGCAATATATAGAAACACAATGCATGTGTTTTGTCATATGCAAAATTTCAAGTAATTTTAAGACGTAAAGACAACTTTTCTGTTTTGACCATAGTTGAAATTATCTCCTATTTTCATCTCTAAGTCTTCAATCAACCTTGTATGTGCAGTCAAAGCTTTCATTCAAGTGAGCCCAGTCTCCAAAGAAAGCAGTCCATAAGTTTATGTTCATATTATTGAGAGGTAATATTTTTTGATGTAAATAGTTCTTACATGCAAGTGGAAAGTTTGGTGGTATTTTTGTGTTTTATAAATTTATGTTAGGTTTTAACAATAAGTTTTCCTGGTTTGAAATGTTTCCTTGCATTGAACTTAGCTCTACGAAAGAGTTTCCACTAGAAAACTATGAACAAGACTCTTTTATCAACGTTTACGGCCTTGTTTTGCGTTTATTAATCAAAGTCATAGAGTACTCATAGGATTTAACAATAATTGTGCTCAGCAATCGTTACTCCAGACTATTTATGAGACCAGTGTTGGTTAAGAATATCAGCTGCGGATTCAATGGCTGCGGATTTCCTGATCATTTTTATTATCCTCTAACGCAAAATATGATCACGTGGAAGACTGGAATGCGCCATTTTTTAACTGGCATTTGCACAGAATAGACATTATGCAAAAAATGGACACTATGATATACTACCATTGTATATAATGTCTATTTTTTGCTCGGTTAACTGTTATAAATAACAGGAACCGGCGCTACCTTATCGTTTTCGTGAAACCAAAATTTCCTGAAGACTAAAGTCGCTAAAGTCCCGCAAATTTTTTGCTTCATTCGCGGGTGACAAGGGCCTTTTGATCATCGTTTTGTCAACAATTTTTATTAGTACATCCGACATTGCTTCGTTTTGATCGAATATAATTGTAGTATTACCCATTAAAACAACAAAAATCGGGAAATACAACTACGAGGAGTGCGATTCAGAGAAGGCTTCTAGAACTATGAACTGAGAAATCAAGGTATATAGAAAATAGTGAAAATTTTATGGCATTTTGTGGCAAAAGGGTATACATGGGCCATTTTTTGTATACGAAGGCAGTATATTTTTAGGCCAAATATATTTTAGGCCAAATCGGCTGTGTCACTGGAGATGCAGAGCGAATTTGAAAGAACTTTTGTTTTTTTCGTTTCATGGTTTTAAATGTTTTTTTTATGGGATTATAATGGAATTAATCTTAAATTCAACCAGGTGAACTGTTTTACAAATTACGACATAGGTAGCCCAAGTGCCCAACAATCAGGTTTTTGATGAAACAAGACACTCTTGCCAGTCTCAATATATTTTTTGACCACGCGCTGAATTACGTACATCACTAGCTCGGGTCACGTATATAGTATACCTTAGGTAATGGAGTTGCCGATCGCATTGGAAACAAATTCTCAAGTAGTGCAATTTCGACAACAATATTTGTACGAAACGGATATCCTAAAGCTAAAATTTCATCGCAAAATACTTATGTTTAATTAATTCCAAGTGACTAGATGGCAAAAAATTGTATTAATTATAGAGTAAAACAAATCATTGCCCCGAGGCTCTACGCATTTTCCTAGCAAAGAACGTCTTACTCCGCATTTCCAAAAATAGGTCCATAAAATGCATTCCACTAACATCAAGAATGTCTCACCTGCCAGGAAATACTAACAAAATCAGTTATTTATCTCCCTATAAAAATTTTTGGTTGTTTTTATCATATTTTTAATACGAAATAAAAATAAAAAACTTTTGTTTTGCCCGTGTTTGTTTTTGACTTTTTGCGTGTAAAGACTGGGGGTGACTTAGTTTCAACTTCCTATTATATGTAATTGGGCGCTTCTAAAGCCGGTTTTCCGCTAGCGATATTTTTCGCGCGAAGCGACTTTATTTCTTTGTATTTGAGCAATTTGTTCCAGATGGTTGCAGTTGAGAGCTCTGCAACAAAAGTAAAATGTCGTTTCGCGCGAAAAATATCGCTAGTGGAAAACCGGCTTAACGTCGTAAATTACCTTTATTACATGATATTAAAATTTGAAACTACTTTTGAGTGGGCCAGGAACTAAAACCGGCTGTTTTCCATATATATGAAACCGAAGAATAAATGATCGACTTGTGGTTATTGTCAGGGACAGATTTCCGGTTGCCCATATAAAAAAAAGCCACTAAAAACGTATAAAGATTTGTAATGACGTAATATGACGGCTGATATTGCATCATGCTGTGTCCTATGTAAAAAATAGCAAAATAAACAATTCCCTTCACAATCCATGGCCCTATGAAGAGATTTGAGCGCGTTTAATGAGGCTTCAAACATTGTACTGTACTAAAATTTATTCTGCAATAAATGCATGTTATCACAGCTGTTTATGCCGTGAAAGTGCTACCAGAAACGTGCGACCAGCACAATAAACGGCAGGTGCAATATTGAATCACACCCCTCCTGCTTGAGGTCACTTGACCAATCAGAGTTGGAACGGGCTCACGTGAGACGATCGAGAGAAACAACAACAGTAGGAGAACGAATTTACAAAACGTGGTGCTTAGTTTGTTTTGCTCGTAGAAAGCGAAAAGTTTTTACATCAAAAGCGGGGCGAAAGGCTTGTGTATTTGCATTTGGGGGTGTTTATGAACTCGGAGTCATAGTTTGGAAGTAATTCGGGTTGGTTTACGTAGAGAAACTGCTGGAAAATGGCTGATACCTTCCCAACTGCAACGACCCTGCAACCGAGGTCTCCACAGAAAAATGGACAATCGCAGACCGATGGGCATGTGGACAATCATAAGCAGAAGCAGAAGAAAGTCAAAACTTCACATGATAACAGCAAAGAGTTGAACGGCATTAAAACGACGACGGATAACCAGCTTTTCGTGAAATCTGCGAAGGACAAACAGCACGATCGGAAATCACGAAGCGGACGAAAGGGGGAGCCGAAGAAAGGTAGGTTTAATCGAAGATGCTGCTATATTTCGATGTTGACATATTTTGTAATATATCTTGCAACCTTTTGTGACAATGTCATCGAGCCCAAAGAGGATATGACTACATTTGCGTGTTTAACAATCGCCTAATTTGATGCAAATTTTCTAACCCAAGTCATTCGTTGTGGTTTGGATACGAACGATAGTTATTTTTCCACTAGTGTGTCGAGTGTCGTTTTCTGTGTCAACAACACATCTCTCCAAACTTTCCATTTCTATATTGAGAAAAAAGATAAGCGATAAATGGCTTTTGAATATGAGCTACTGTACATGTTATCTCTTACATAATCAATCAATTACCCTTAGTCCTAGACTAGACAGCTTTAAAATTAGCTGTAATGCTGTGAGGAATTCAAAATTCTGATATAATATCGCAACAGTTCAATGTTTTAATTTGAAATTTTCAATCTTATTAGAGTTGAATCGAATATTTCACCCTAGGAAAATCCTTTCTTGCAAAACGTGCATTTGTGCAGGCGGCGATGACTTTACATGTTTGAATTGACAATGTGATGGCATGGAAACATGATTTTCGTACGGTGGTTACACCCAATTTATTGTTGTTTTATTCAAATTATTATAAAAGCGATATTTGTTTTTCATACTGAACTTGGTGAGTTTTGCGTTAACAATGTTTCTCTTTGTATCTTATTAGCCTGTGTCTTCCTGTAAAAACATTAAAAACATTATCCCTTTAATCACCAGTCATTTCCTCTCCCCTAGGGAGTTAAAGCATGTGAGTGGGAATTTATTTAGATTTTAAATCCTATACTTCAGGCCCAATGCTGTAAGGCCCAATATATTGACCGCTATAACTAAACTTCTATGATCATATTTGGAAATTCCGATATATTGGTAAAATTTCATAGGATCATGAAAGTTCATAAACTAAGATTTTTCTTGCTGAAAAAGTGATAGTTGAACTACTAGAAATTTAACAGAAATGAAAAAATACCAGTAAATGCTTGTTATAGCAATTAATTCATATTTTGTTATTGAATATATTAATATAGTAACAGCTTGAGTAAGCCAATGACTACTGATTTTTTTACATACGTGAATCCTTACAGAGGCCATGGATTATTGGAAGAAACCAATTTTATTGCCAAAACTTGTGCATCATTTCAGTTTCCAGTCATTTTAGTCATCATTTGGCCTTTCTTGAGCAATGTAAATGGAGAGCAATGTAAATGGAGATACAAACTCGGCAAACTTAAAAGCATATTTAAGCGATAACCTTCAATTTTCAGTCTATATGTATACTTTTTTTTAATTTAAGCCTGATAATGGGGACCAGGAGACCAACCCTGGGGACCAGTTTGAGTGAAACCTTTTGAAATTCAGGAATTATGTTCATCTAACAACTAATATTGAATAAATGTGAAAATATTAGGAAAATAATTAAGTGAAAGTTTTGCCTCAAAACATCCAAATGACTGTAGTATTTTATCAATTGAATTATCTCAGGTGGTGCAGGTGGAAAAGGGACATGGGGGAAACCAGGGGAAGTTTATGATGATGTGGACATGGTAAATGATGAACAAGACCCAAACTATGACTCCGAGGAAGCCGAGGTACTATAATTTACTGTTGTTAATTTGATATTCATGCAGATACATATGGTTACATTGTATGTGTGTTTCAAAAATGCTCTCTCTTTTGTTCGAGTATTTGTAAATAATGATATGAGAAGTTTGAGTTTGAAAGGGGTAGTTTCTAAGAGATAACCTAAAAAAATACAAGTATTTACTACTCATTGCAGGAACCATATCTTGAAGAACTTAAGCCAGAATTAACCGAAGAGGAATTTATCAAATTTGTGGAGCCTATTATTCAGGTAAATAAGGCACTGCTGTTATGGTCTTGAGACTCATGAACTTTGGTTCTACAATGTTTAGACAGCGGCATAAGAGTTGAACAAAGATAAGTTTTCTGGTCAAATTCATTGGTGTCTCGTCAAATGGAACGCGAATGCACTCTGCAAAGTCATTATGACTACTTGCAATGACCTTTGTTATATTTTGACCTTTAATTTTCTAAAGACGTTTCCCAAAATTTTTTAATACTATCCATAAAACTATAATTATAATTATTATTTTTCTTACCTGCGTATGCTAATGCTATATTACAGTTCATGAACCTTTAAACTTCTTTCAAATATTCTTGGTTTAGGAATATTATGAGCATGGTGACACAGAAGAAGTTATTGTAAGTTTTTGATCAATTTTAGATGCCCAGTACTTGGAAAATGAAATTGCATATTGTGTGACCTACCACTTAAACCTTGCTTAATCACCTGGTATAATGGCTTTGCCTGCCACAACAATTTAGTATTGTTTGCAATTGAGTTATTACATAGCTTGGAGGATTTTGAAGTATTATTTTATATATAGCCTCTTTAATGCCTACAATATTTCACCTGCTCTGATAGCATTGCAAGATGGCCTGAGATAGAGACCAAGATTATATTTGATCTGCAATTAATATTTAACATTTTTGGTACTAGGCTGATAATTTTCTTTTCACCTTTCCATTATATTAACAGTTATCCTTGAATGAACTGAACATCCACACATCTATGAAACACAAGGTATGCTTATTTTGAACAAAAATGATATCATTGGATTATTATCAAATTACAAAAAAGATCTATACCATATTTTATTTCTCTTTTTTAGACCCTAGCATTGGCAGTGACCCTTGCAATGGAAAAGAAGGTTATTATTAAAAAAGCTATACCAGTTAGAAACCTGCTTGTAAAACAGAAACATATTTACAAGTTTGATATTATGACTTTGTAATTTGAGAGCTTAAAATGTAAAAATACTGTAATAGACCTGTATTTGTTATCCAGTTCACTAATTATATTGATATTTCTGTACCCTTTGTGGTTTAGGATGCTCAAAGAGAAATGGCATCCATTCTGATATCTGATCTTTATGGTGAGGTCGTGACAGAAGATGAAATCTCCCAAGGTAAATCATATGTACCAGACATAGTAAAAAATTCCTGGAATTCCTGGAATCTAGCCCATTCTCAGACTTTTTTGGCTCTACACCGAAGAATCATTTAGGCAATTATGCATGTAAGTGGAATATTGTGGTCTTATTAGTTTACTGTGGTTGAGGCTGCATTATTGTAGATTAATGTGATTACACTATGGTAGTCTACTGTTGTTAATGTGACTCCAGTATGATAGTCTACTGTTGTTATTGAGACTGGGCTACATGGTAGTCTGTGGTTAATTAAGGAGGCTGCGCTGTGGTAGTCTACAGTTGTTATTGAGACTGCGCTGTGGTAGTCTGTGTAGGTTATAATTAAGGAGGCTGCGCTGTGGTAGTCTACTGTTGTTAATGAGACTGTACTATGATAGTCTACTGCTAGCTGTTATTGAGACTGCACTATTGTAAGCTACTGTTGTTGATAAGTTGCTTTGATTTTTATCGCCACTAGACACAGCACTTTTTTACTTTTAGCGTTTATGGACGTTTTGGATGATTTGGAAGATGTCACCCTGGACACCCCTGATGCCCCAGAAGTAAGAAAAATCACTTTTTTTAATTTAACGCCTGCTTCACTTTAGCTACTCGCTTTTTACTTGCTTTAAAAAAAATAAAATATCCTTTAACTATTATTATCATTATAAAATCTTCACTTTAGTCTTTACGTCTTTAGTTTAGCGACAACCTTACCTGCACACTTCATTCGCCGGCCCGTGTTAAAAACACATTTATTGTCAGACCGAAATTCGTGCAAAAATTGAAAAACTCTTTCAATAACATTTTTAAACTTTAAACAGTTCAAATGTTAAAATGTGGACGGCATATACAATACTTTATGCAATGGTTTTGGAGTATTTTCTCTGGTTTAATTTCGGAGTAAACACAAAATTCTCCATTTTCGTGCCAAACGTTGTTGTTGCAAAAACCATACTTCAAAAGGATGATTTCGATTGTGGACTTGGGCAGCCTACTACTAGTAGCGTACTACTAGCGTAGCTAATCAGAATTCGCAGTACATGATAGCCCATAGTAACTTTCTGACGGATGCAAAAGAGGGCCTATGCCACAATCTTCATTCATATTGTTCAATGGAATTTAAAGTGTCACGTTTGTACGTGTGTTCATACGTTCACATACGCCAGGGTACGAATCATAAACGACAAATCGCGTAGTGTAAATGGGTCTTAAAATAGACAAAACACTTCTCGACGTTTCGACCTAAGGGCCTTCGTCAGGAAAGTTAATAGACGAAGGCCCTTAGGTCGAAACATCAAAAAGTTGTTTTTTTTTCTATTTTGGGCAGTTGTTTTACCATATTTGATGCTAAGTTATTTGAAGACGCTGCCACGCTGCTCCCTGGTTATATTGTATAGTAACTTTATACTGATCGCTGTTAATCTATACCCATTGTAAATCAATTACGATTTGTGACACTTCACTTGATGTAAAATGATGGTTTAAAGGTCTTCAGAATTCCTCACGGGGTTTTTCTATTCAGGTGTTGGGGAAGTTCATAGCAAGAGCTGTGGCAGATGATTGTCTTCCTCCAGCATTTGTGAAGAACTACACCGAGGACACTGGTGCCGAATCACTTCAGAGAAAAGCGTTGAGTCGAGCTGATGTGTTGCTCAAGATGAAACATGGTATGGTGAGACTCGACAATGTTTGGGGCGTTGGAGGTGGACGGCGACCAGTGAAACAACTGATTAAGAAAATGGTGTTGTTGTTGAAAGAGTATCTTTCTTCTGAAGACATCGAAGAGGTAATTTTGTAACCAGCATGGGTAACCATGCTCTTTCTTGAGAAACATTCAGGTTATACATTCAGGCTTCTATAGAGATCAGTGGGTGCAAGATGATCAACCACAGGGTTAATCAATGATCTACATCGTTTGGCTATCTAGCCTATGTAGGTTGTAAGAATTGCTTGAGGAACAGTTCACTCATCTTTTCGTACTCCACCCCCAGTCATTTGTAAAGACAAAATTATAAACCAGGAATTTAACACCCCCCCCCCCAAGTATATACGTCTGCCTTTCCACTGTATGTATTTTGAAGTTATGGAAGCGTATTTACCCTTGCAGGCCAGTCGTTGTTTGGAGGAACTGGAGGTGCCTCATTTCCACCATGAACTTATCTACGAGGTTAGCTCCTGTTCTGTTAAATTTACTCTCCTAAAACATTTTAGCTTATTTCACATTTAGTTGTGAGCATGTCAAGGTGGTTTATGTACTGAAATATTCCTCCTGTACGAAAAATTGTTTAAAGCAATTACGAAGGACAAAATTGAAACTAGGCTTTAAGAGACCCTCTTTTATAATTTGATACCTACGTCATGATATTTCTCAGCCAATCTTTTAGCTCAAATCTAATTGCTGCTTGCATTTTTGCATTTAGGCCATGGTCATTTTGCTTGACAAAGAGGACCAAAGAGTTGGAAAGAAAATGGTGAAATTGTTCAAAGCGTTTACTTTGAGTAATATTGTCACACCTGATCAATTCACTTCGGTAGGTTGAAATTAGTTTTACAAGTTTCCTTTGTAATCCTGGATCAAATTTAACCCACAATCAGGGAAACTTCTGGTCCGTGAAAAATGTCAATTTAGGGAACTCTTTCCCCCATGGGCAGTTCGTTATTATTGCATACAATTACAGTATATCCTCATTTTTGCCCCATTTAAGCCTTGCGCCCATTTAGGCCTGGGGTAAACTCTCCCGCTCTTCCCTCTAAGAGGCATGTTGTGAACCTCCTATTGTGTGGGTATCGCATGCAGGTTGTTTTAATTCATTTTTGTTGCATAGGGATTTGAACGAATCTATCGTTCGATGGAGGATCTGAGTCTGGACTCACCTCACGCGTATCAGATTCTGGAGTCTTTCTGCAGCGATTGTCTTCGGGAGAATGTCATCACTGAAGAATTGAAGAGAAAAATGCCGGCAAGGTAAGGGACATGGCATATTTTAACTATATACTGGAGCCCCCAGGCCCTCTTGTTGGCCCCGCCACTTCCTGGACCCATTTGGTCTCGACGTGCGGTCGTCTCTAGGTTTATGCAGGCTGTTGTACTTTTGAAAATGGTGGCAAAGATTTTTAGGGATTCATCTGGGTGTTTGTAAGACTGTAAGTTTCAAGAACAAAAGAACTATGGCGATCAGATAACTGCTAAAATCACAAGAATTGTATTAAATTGCGTCAAATAGCATTTCGGAGATTTCAGTTTTCAAAATTTTTCCACATGGCTCACGCCTGACGGGCTCTTTTGAGCTTAATGGCCCCCCAGTGTAAATTTCTTAAAATATCTCTTGGTGAGGAGGCAAAACGTAATGTTAGTTTTTAAACCATTTTAGCAGTTCTTATACTGGTGTCTATGTATTTTGATAGTTTTAGGGTTTTAGTTTTCCGTCAGGTTTTAAATCAATCTCAATTAAAGTCGTGACAACGACTATCATCAACAAGAAAGACAGTGTGAACGTAGCACACTTTCCTAGACTTGTCCAGGCCAGGTCTAGGCCTCTAGTGTAAATGCGGTTTAATCTAGTTACACATACAAAAGTATACAAAATTTGCCAACTTCGCATGGCTATATTTTCCATATTTTACAAAATTTCGCAGCCAAACTTTGCATTTGCACTAATTTAAGTAAGATCTTTCTAGCTGTGATGATTTATTTTCTTCTAGTTACTTCTAGTTACGGTCAAAAATTAGTCTAAAACGCAAGTCGCCCATTGTTAGCCCAAAATGTTGGTTAGCCCTGTTGTTTTAGTGCTTTCCGGCATTTTTTCAGAGGTTGAAAAAATCACTATCCGGTGGATAGTGAGTTTTTATCGACAAGCTGCCCCGGAGTCAGTATAAACTCATAAATCCATCGTTTGCATTTAGGGGAAGAAAGAGATTCGTCAGTGAGGGTGACGGTGGTGCGCTGAAGCATTAACCTTCCCCTGCAAGCTGAAAACCTGGTTACCCACTCTTTAGGCACTGCGAAGAGATCTTTCAAATAATTGGTCCTTGTGTATTGTTTCAATATGATAATGAATTGTCAACGGTTTGTAAATAGAATATGCACAGAGTGGCACCTGTAGGCCGACATGTGGAATTTTTTAATTCCTGGGTATTTTTATGGGGTATGTTGCCTATTCTAAGGTCTGGCGTCTTCAATTTTACTCAAACAGTACTGTGCGGAGGTGTTTGGTCACCTGCTAATAACCTTCGTTAAGTGGAAGTGTCCTATTGAAGAACCTTTAATAATTTCAACTTCATGAAAACCAAAAAAATCGTGATAAAAAACTTTTTGTGATCTAAAACGTCCACACAGTACTGTGGGATTTTTTTTTATGCTTGAGGTCTCCCCAACGGACCTATATATAACAACTTGTATTACCAAACTAGAATTCTTAAATATTCTGGTTCTGATGGTTCAAAGCCGATTAGCTTACCTCAGGGTTATCAATACGAATCTGGAGATTGTGTTTTACCTATTGCTTTTTAATCATGTGAGATATGTTTAATGGTTTGGTCTGATAGATTGTTCTCATTTACGTCTAAGATCCGCCTTGTCGGTGAAAATTTAAGAAGAGATGACTCTGAGGTCATGTGAAAACTATCTATAAAGGTTTTGATTTAAAATTTAAAACGAACACCCGATGAGAAATACTTAAACGATAAAATCAATTTTTTTAGGACTAGAAAAAAGTTTAGAGTTAATCGTGCTTTGGACTGCCAACCCGAATTTTTGGCAAGTATAGTCAACGAGTCCAGTTGTAATATAGATTATAGTTAAGTCAGTAATACTTCAGAGGAAATTGTCGACTAGTCCAGAAAAATGCGACTACAACTAGTGAAAAACGACTTGGCGTAAGCAACGATGACGTCATGCCACAATACCAAATGTCTCGCGTGGGATCCTTTTAGTTGTGTTTCACCCTTGCCAAAGATCCGGGTTCCTCGTGTATGCACTGGGTACATGTGGGGTGAATTGTGGATATGATTGCGTACTATGTAGTGATTAGAATTGTATTGTGGGTACCAGGATTCTCAGCTGCCTGTAACAAAGTGTAATGCGGAAAAAACGTGGCCACTGCCAATAAAACATGCTGTGAAAATTCATGTGTTTTCTTTTTTTCATTTATGCCTTGCCCAATTCAGGGTGATTTGCTCAATAGCGAAAGAAATATGGGCGTCACTCGCGGCTGTTGACGATTTGACGTGCCCAAGGCAGTTTGTTGCCTTATAACGGTCACGTTGCAAATTCCTGGAAGGCACGTAAAGACTTCGGGCCTGTTCAAGTGGACAACATTTTCCCAGTTAGCGAGGGAAATTTTCGGCAAATTCTCAAACGAGATCTCGGCTTATTAACAAATAATACCAAAAACTTGCTTGCGTTCATGTGTCACTATTAGTTTTCCCACTTTCCGAGATCTCGGTAAGCGAGAGAATATGTTTCGTTTTTCCTCATGCCATTTTGCCGGGGTGATTTTCTGTCGATTCAGAACCGAACAAAACAATTTGGTCGGTCGGAAACTTAATTTTGCCCATATGAACAGCCCCCTTAGCATAATATATAAGGGCTGTTTATATGGTCACTCTTAGCCGAGATTCAACAAGGCGCGTGATAACTTTCAGGTATTGAAATGGTTATATAACATGATCCTGGCAGTTGTGTAATCATCACAACAATATCATGTGTTTGTTTGGTTATATAAAGATTTCTGAAGTAAAATCATTTGGTTAAATAAAATCTCCGTTAACCGGGGACATGTAGACAGCCTCTGATAAGAGGGGAAATGTTATTCGTGTGAAAAATATTGGTCCCTATTTTTGCCTATGATGGCATTACGTTATACATGAATTCACTCGCGTTTTTATACAGTACGGATTAAGAGCTGTATATTGTGTTGTGTTATAATATAACTACTCACTGTAGCCTATATAAGCTATTCTGCAATCTGATTAGTCGAGATATCCACTGTATATCAGCCAATATAGGGTGAGTAGCAAAAACAAAATGGCCGACAGTTTTGCGAACTTCAGTTGATGAAGAAGAAATTAAAACACTTTTGTCAATAGATTTAAAGTACATTGAAATCAACAAAATAGAAGAAAAATCTTTTGGGATTATTGAACCTGTCAAAAATCAGCGCTTTTTGTTAAATATACGTTTTGAAATCTGCATGAACAAGAAAGCTGCATGCTTTTGGCTGAGCTACGTACGAAACTCGTCAGCGGCTATCAGCCAATATAATATACCACCCGAACTCGTGGTATAATTGTTAGTTGTTACACTCACAACAAAGACTTTGTTATCATTTTCTTCGCTTTAAACCAGACAAATTTACCCGAAAGAAACTAAATTCGATCGAAATGTCCTTCTAGGATTGAAGCAAGAATATTTTGCAATCTTTACTTCAGTAATTTCTGCGCATAATGGTTTCTTAAAGTCGGTTTACCACAAGCATTTTTTTCCTGTATGAAGCCAATTACAGCTTTGTTTCAGCTGATTATTCGGCTGCAACCATCCGGATTAAATGCCGAAACGATAGACGCCAAACCATTCGACCGAGCAATTCGGCAAATGATACCCTGCTTCGTTTCGATAAAGCGGCGCGGCGAGTATTTTAGAGGTTAAAAGTTTATAATATCTATAGGAAAATTATTTTCCAACAGACGCCAGGCAAACTGATCTAAGTGTCACAACGATTGTTACAAAACACAAAATGTTACAATCGTAAAACCCGACGCTCGGTGTTGCCCGGCCTTTGTCGCCTGCAGGGCGTAACTAGAGCGATGATTGGGGGGATAAATATTCACATATTCAGTTCTGCCCGATGAATTTTTTATTGTAAGCTATTGCACTGCACTTACAAAAGAAATCCGTAGGGCAGAACTGGATATATTAATATTCATCTCCCCAATTATCGCTCTAGTTACGCCCGCTCTGGTTGGGTGGTACGAAAGATACTTTTAGCAATCTCTGAGAGAAAGAAAATTACAGTACCGCGGCAGCCACGAAACGAAAGTTCATCCAAAACAAATGAAAACCTCTAAAAATACATCTTTTATGTTCAAGAGCTTGTGTTCAGCTGTTTATAAAACCTTATCGCTTTCAAGAGAAATCAGTCGAGCATAGGACGAATGTATGATTATGTGCATGCATCCAAGCAAGCTATACGTACGCTTTTAGCCACGGCCCAGTTTTATACGAATGTAATCTAATCATAGCTCATTATTGACATGATATTTTGATGTTTAGTACGACGAAATGACGAGTACAAGCTTATGTTCGATACAGTTTAAGAGTCATGTAAATCATACCAAATTTGCATCCAATACCATTTCGTATCGCTTCACTGGCTTTTCCAGTGATATTAGCCAGCATCGAGGGGCATGTACAATTCAACCGCGGGTAATTGACAGAGACATTGAAATGTTAATGCAGGCTATAAGTGCGTAATTTGAATGAAAATAAGTGCGATCCAGTGCCTGGCTTTGTTTTCGCTTATACATGCGTAAACAGCGATTTGGACCGTAACGAAGCTAGCTACGACGTAGAGATGTCTCGACTGATTGCGACCCAAGTCGCTGTAAAAGATTTGCAAAATGTCACCGAGAAACCGGCGACAACAGCGGAGGCGGAACCATCAGAAGAGGAGAAGAAAATCGACTTAAATCCTAAACTTTCGCTTGCTTTCAGAGGTATGGAAATTCCATTGCTTAAGTAAATAACTAATCTTGAATTTATATATTAGTCAAGGAGACAAAAAAGTTTCATCTTCAAAATTTCTTAAGTTTCCTTTCGAAATTCAACCAGCTGATGCCGTGTTTTTATAAGAATCTAATAAGGCGCTTGAACTAGGCGTGTGAACTTCCGTGAGTTTTGCGTTGTAACGGATTTCGGCAAGTCTTCAGCCAGTTAATCCATGCCTATTATAACTGTTGACTTGGAGTACCTCCAGTCACGATTTCGTGAAAATGCGTTTAGACCACGAAAATTTAGCTCAAGTCAAGTTGCCGAATCAGAGAATATTTCAGTCAAACCAATTCGGGTTCTAAATCGCTGCATATGTGACAACAATGAAAGAATGTTAGACACTTGGACTCGATCGCCTTTCCGCTAAACCAAGCTAAACCAGTGATTCGTGTCCAGACGGAAGACAACATTTGTCGAATTGTGGTGTTCGGTATTGCAAGCTAGCGCATCATGCTTGTATCAATCATTTCGAGGCTGGGAAGCTTTGATTTTATTAAGATTAAAGCTGGAAAGTTTATTGTATTGTATTGTATTGTATTGTAAAGAACACCAAAACAAGATTTATCACACTATGAGTATATTCAGCCATGATAAAATGAGTATACGACCAAATCAACAAAAAAACAGAAATGATAAAACTCGATTGGCTCGAAGATTGTTGCGCTGTTTCCTACAGCGCAATTCCTTGTCAAGTTTCCTTGACGGCCGTCACACACGCCCGAGCATTTTTCCTTGTTGAAAAGCTGGCATGACTAGCTTTTGAACATGGCTCCTGGTCAAGGAAATTTTGTCAACTTTTCCCCTACACACGAGCAAATAAAACTTTGCAAGGACTTTTTCGTCTCTATGGGGCATGCATATGGGTTTGTAAACATTGACCACATATAGAGACGACGAGTAATCAAGAGTGACATGTATGTTTGCAAAGTGCATCAGCCAACCGCCTGCCATGCAGGCTATACAGCAGCTAACTGCCTGCCATGCAGGCTATATCAGCTAGTGCATATGAGGCTTTGGGTTTAAGCTCATGCATAAAATGGATTAAATGGTCACGATCACGGAAATGCTCATGTCGTATCAGATGCGGAAAATGACAAAGTTTGTTGAAATTTCTTCTTTATGTTGATCGATTCAAAGAAATTCAAGTTCCAAAGCGTAGCTAAAGAGCATTAATCATAGACACTTATACGTGGACTCGCCTTCTGCACGTTGAAACTCTAGGAATACAC